TACTCCTAGCATCGTCGTTTCGACTGCGCGTTCGATAACGCTGAGTGACCTTTCATCCTGATCACGCAGCGACCAGGTTTGTGACGCATACGTTAGGGCAGGAAGTACCGTTGAGTCGAAAAGGTGGGCACGGAGTCGGGTGTTCTTTTTTCTCTTTACTATAACCTCGATGCTCTTGAAAGCTCCCCAACCTGCTCGTTTCCTTCTGCTCAGCTCTGGAGCTAGGTCGTTCATCATATTGATTTCCCGACCTAGATGGACGCAACTGGAGCATTCGGAGATATTCGTTCCGTTGAGCGTGAATGGGGCATGCGAAACCAATCCGTTCTTCATGAACATCGTTTTGTGAGATTTAGTCGAAGACCAGCCTTTCCACAGGCTGTACCACCTTGTCTAACTCCTCTTTTAACGTCAGTGTTAATGTCTTTGTAGAATGGTGATATCTTGGTTGTAAAATTTTTGTACAATTCATGAAAAATCAGATGTATAGTTAAGTAAAAATTTGCGTCCGCAGTTCCACTTCAGTCTTTTGGAACCGGAAAGATAAAGGTCGCATGAACGTAACTATGGCAACTTTTGTATCCTTGGAGTAGGTTCACTGGTCAATTTTACGTTGTAAGGATGACTTGGGGCTTTCCTACTGTGCACTAGAGGTAGCTGATGATATTTCAAATAGTGCAGGTGACAATATTCACAAACAATTCTTACTCCTACAAATGTTTCCGCAGTGAACAACAGCATGAATTTTTTTGACAATCTATTTATGTGATTTTATATTTGCAAGTTGATCGTTTTTTTAATACAAATAAAAAGTACTAGGTAATAATTGTGAAGGTCCATCCAATGAAATACTTTTAGGTAAGCCTTGAGCCAGATCATTTTGAAGCATGGAACAATTTATCATCGGCATATATCAAGTTAGGCCAGAAAGAAAGAGCTAGAAAGATTTTGCAGGTATGTTATAACTGAAGACATTTCTTTACCAAGGCAGGTACGAACAGTTTTTCTTAACAAATGCTTTGAGTTTTCCTTGAATTTAACTAAAATTTTCCTGCTCTCTTGATCTCAATTCAGATTCTGATCAAGTGGTGATGTTAATTAATTTATTGGAAAGTTGAGGATCTTTGGGTTTAAAATGTTCTCTTTATGTGCGATCTAAAATCCCAAGTGTGGGTGTAACTGTAACTGGGCCGACAAGAGGAATTCACAATGCTATGATTTGCCGTAATCAAATGTATTCATCTTTTTCAAGATGTCGACGCAGAATTTTTGGGATCCTTTGATAATGTCGTTATAAAATTCTTTCGCATAGCATTGACATTTCTGTCAGGTTGATACAACACATGCATTTCATATGTATATATATATATATATACATATATATATATGTATATATATATATAATCTATAAATATACACACATGTATGTATATGTATTTATACATATATGTGTGTGAAATTTAATGAAGTCCTTTTTATAGGAGGCGTTAAAGTTCAACTTCGAGCATCCGAAAGTATGGGAGAATTTCCTACTTCTTTGTGTCGACACTGCTCAATTCGATCAGGTTCGGATGATATCTAATGCCGTGATTTTCTGGAACATAGCGAAACAGTGTTTTTGAAAACCCGCTTCTATTCAACCTGACTGGTATAATTAATCTTTTGTTTATTTATAAACTTACAAGGGTTGTTTTAATTTCCTATTCTGGGAACATCATCTTTTTTAGGTGAAGCGGCTATTTGAGTCGCATTTCCACAGTAATCGTTTTCTGCGATAGGAGTCTTTGTCGTCGTATCAAATTAGCTCGGGTAGAGTGAAACACAGCACGAATTTAACACATTTGCGACGATGCCTAATATATCGAGACGTGTCCATAGGGCGGCGTCTAATTTTGTATCCGACTCGCTATGACCCTTAATAAGGGCCTGCCGGTCACAATGTCCCGCAGTTTGGAAGCTGTCCCCGATTTTCGTTGTATAGTTAGATTTTTCTCTGCCTTTTAAAAAAGATTCCAGTGCTCTTCCCTTATCCTATGTATACACCATGTTCTTCCACACACCCTTCCACGTTTTTGTTGTATATACAACTTTTCTGTGTAGTGGAAGAAAAGGTCGTCTACTTGCTGTACACCCTTTTCAACAGCAATAATCTCAGCTAAATGGGAAATTAAGTGAGAAATCGTTAAGAAAACACTCTCCCATGGACGAGATGAGGTTTTACATCTGCATTGGATGAGTTATCAACTGATTAAAATAAGTATAGAAAACTCCTGCGCACTAAAATCAATCCCCGGAAAGATAATGACCTTTATGGAGGTTATGCCGTCCATTTCGCCCTATTATAAATGACCTCCCTATAAATCACATCTTTGCCAATATGTTAAAAATATTTGTATCTATTATTGAATGCGTTCAATCGCCACGTTATATATGAGCGCAAACGAAGTTATGAGATAATCGAGTTATCGACCATGTATTACTCTGTGCGGCGGCTATCCACCAACTAACTTAAATACTTACAACAAATAAACGGCTCTGAAGAAGGCGAAACCGCCGAAACGTCAGCAATTGTGTTCTAATAAATTCCATATTAACAACCTCGTGTCTGCTTATTGATGAAAAACATTGTCTTAAGATCTTTCGGTTATCTGGAGATACATGAATTCCTAGCTGTAAAATTGAAGTCCAAATCTCTAAAGTTCTCTAATCTCTAAAGGAGTCTAAAATCAGTTTTTTCTAATCTCCATGACTAAAATATTAATACAACCAAATATGCCGTTCTCAACTATCTTTCGGAAAATCTGATGGCAAGGGGAAAATAATATTTAAGATTTGACGCTCTCTTTAATCATTTCTTGAATAATATTGACATACTGCTAGGATTCCTTTTGCTGGATATGTCCCAATATTTCTAATTTTTGAGAAGAAAGATTCCTCATTCAAAGATTGACTTTTAGGCAATAAACGCATTTCACCGGCTACTCGATCTGAATAAGCAACAAAAGGATGACGAAGTTTTGGATATCCTCACGTCGAACGTTTTACATATGTTCAAAGAGGTTGCGTAACTTATTGTGATCCATTTTTAAAGCGTCTTTGTTTTAGGCAGGCTATTTTTATAAAACTGTTAAAGATTGAGGTTTCTTTTGGAGTTTCAATGTGGACATCGAGTTTTTATGAGCTCTATGGTGCTATGAAGTCCATTTCCAAAATGTTTCACACTGTGCACTTTAATGTTACAAGCATAGATTTAGGCGGACGACGATGTTTCAAAAGATCAAGCAGCGCAGCTTAAAGGGAAGCTTTTGAAACTCTTTGGTAGGCTTAGTGCCTCGCAGACGTTATCATCGAAGGTTTGTTACCTTAACAATTATTTATTTTATCTCATGCTGTACAGGTCTAGTAATAACTCAGAATTTAATCCTGAAATGACAAATGCGATTAGCCGAAGGAGAATAAAAGTGGAGATTATTTCTTCCATGTATCAGTACTTTTGAAACATTGCCTATTATTCTCTGAATTTTAGCGAATTTTATCGAATAATTGAAAAAAGTAACCATTGGTGGAAGTAGTACCGCTGTTTAGGCTTGGCAGTTGTACGCTTCATTAAAACGTCCATCTAACGATAATGTTGAAGAAGGAGAAAAATACATCCAACTTCTTGAGAGGTCTTTGCTCGCTGCCTCCAACAACCTTGTACGTTTGTTTTTTATCTTACAAATATTTCTAGAATCGTTAACACATTTCCCATAATGTTCATTGGTTTTAATGCGCATCTATTCGGAAATAGTTGCATTTTCTATCTTAAAAGTTTTTCTTTTAAGTTGAAAGCGACAATTCTAATCCCAGATAGAGATTTTTACTATTTAAGTAAAGACCTTTAGCTACAACGATTCGAATCTACATGTTTTTTCTTCATATCTGCAAAAAACTTCTTACCGAAGAAAAACTCTGATCTTCAAGAGACCGCGAAACGTTTTGTTTTCTGTTTCTGTCTTGTGTGGACGATCGCATCTCGAGAAACGAAGGAATTTTTTAGGTTGTTCGAAAATTAGCGCACAGTTCCTATCTTATCTACCTTTAAACTAAATCAATCGTATTAATCGCAACGGAAACCTTCGGAACCTACACATTTTTGCCAACGAGGAGCAAGTTTGTATGTTTCGGTTGGATAAAAGCTCTTCTAATGTTCTAGAAGCTGTGGTTCTAGAAGTTCTAGAAGCGTTGAGATCATTGGAGGCAGTTTGGGTCTCTGCTTCGTTTCTGAAGCATTCCTCGCCAGTAACGTTATTGGGATGCTTAATGAAGTAATAGTAGGTAGGGTAGAGGACCCACGAATATGATTGATGAGGCAGAGCTTCGCAGCTCAGCCTATGCAACCGGTAATGTGACGTGTCACAAGCGCTGGCGTGAAGAAGGATTGGTTTCATTCTGTTGGCCATTGCGGAGCACACCCGTTCAATTTTCTAGTGGGCTTCGTATATTTATTCAACATACATCGCCGCAATCGTTTACCAAGATTCAGGAAAACCTGATGGATATGATATGTTGATACATCAGCATAATGTGCCTTTTTTTTTGCTTCCATGTGATTTCTGTGCCGTTGGCCTCTACGTGGCATACTTAGTGGAAACCTCATAGAAAGTGGCTCTGAAGAAGGCGAAATCCGACGAAACGGCAGCTTATTCGTGGATAAAGAATAATAACACCTCGCGTTTGCTCAACAAAAATACGAAGAGTTGCTTGTATGTTTGCTTTGATCAAACTCTTCAATTCATCGTCGTCAATATGAAAAAACGTTCGCGGCCTTACTCATCTTCAGCGTCGAATTTGCGGCGATGTAATTTTCCAAACCAACATTGCACAGTGCGTTTCGTTAGCCCTATCTCCTTTCGCTCCATATCACATTAATGTTTGGAGCTGGTTGTCCTGTACACATCCGAGTCTAAATTCCTAGAAGTTGATTTATTTAAATAGCTGCTTCTACTTCCGAAATTCTAGCTTTTAAATGTTTTTTAAACCCATCGTTTATATTAAAATTTAATTGTAGGGAGCGAAAGTGCACGAAATGAGCTTCGCTGCGATATGTAAGCATTTGGAAAGAAAAACTATTGCTAGGACATGTATTAAAAAAAGCGAAATTTTGTTAAGCAGGAAGAGGTGATCTCCCAGAATTCAACGTTGGTGTTTGTAGTTGCTGCTTCTGTAGTGAAAATGTGGGAAATTTGCATCGTTCCATCATTTTTTAAATTTTAATTGAAGCATTTAAAGTAAATATATTGTTAAGAATAGAGCAAGATCTCTCCTATAATTCGTTGAAATTAGCATTTCGAGTGCTCCAGTTATTGAGAAATAATCGGCAGCTGTCAAATGGCCATGTGTTGAAGATGGGACGACCAACTGTTACAGTAATAACGAGAAACTTTCTACTATGCTTCGAAATCTTGTACCAAGTCTAGTAAGAGTTAACAGAAACCCAGTATTTCTCCGAAAGACCTCATGTTGATTACGTAATTTAACACTTTTACGTCAGCCATCAGATTTTCATTCCTTCTCCTCTCTTCTTCTTTTTTTGGAAAATAAGGTTACACTTCCTCCATTTTCTATGACAACAGTTACCTTAGAATTATTTACACTTGTGCTTAGCGTCGTAGGTTTTGGTGCTTCTATGCGGCTAATAAGATTCAAGTTGAACAAAATCAGTATTAATACTTTGGAATTCTTTAACTCATTAGTATTCGGAGTAGGTTTATCATACATAAGATCACTGTGAATATACTTTGCAGACTATTATTTATCATTTTCTTCATCTTTTTCCTTTATTGGTCCCTCACGTAGTATTCATTCATCCTTGGCTTTTATACATATTTCATATGCAGAATCATTCACGAGTATTCATGCTATTTTCTAGAATTGGAGTAAAGACTTTGAAACATGCTGTTCTGTGCTTTCCAAAGCCGTCGAACTGGCGAATGAGCGTCTTCGATTCGCTTCTTTGAAAGGAGAGGCCGCAGTTAACCAGGTTCGTATTGAACTACTTTATTTTATTTTACTTTTATTTGCTTTATTTTTTTATTTTTCTACGTCGCTAGAAGTTATCAATTTAGGCCAAATCTCGTGTGAGGATGTCACTAAAACCACTTATTACCGTTGTCAGAAAAGAGTACGAAAAACAAGGAAACGAACATGTGGATGAAATTACGCTAAAAGTCGCCGAATGTTTGGCGGTAGCTGATGCAATTCTATTGACAGTCTCGAGTTAACCTTTTTAAACCATTGTTGATATTATTCGAATTGGCGGAAAATTAACACTGCAATTTGGAAAAAAATCCTTCAGAGTATATTACGACACGTATTTCATTCCTCATTCATTTGGAAAGCTGCATGTCCCGTCTTCACTAGTAGCCGGGATACAGCACATTCTCCATTCATTTCTTTTTCGCGCAGTGGTTGTCCATGGTAACGATCTGGTTCGAACATGGTGACGTCCATGAGGCCTATTTCGAAATCCTGAAGTTGTTACCATCTGCGGATTCGAACGGTTAACGTAAGACGCGAATACGTTTGCCCATTGTTTAGTTGTTCTTGGAGTCCATATCACTGTTCTTTTTGTCCATCTATTATTACCTACTGTTAATATATGATGGGCTGGTCCGTGGCTTCACTATCGATGTGTACTCTCCTTGATCCAGAAGATGGTATAGGTTTTGAAGATCTCAACTGCGCATTCTGGTTAGACGTTTTGGCTGCCGATCAAATTCTAGAAGACACATTTCAAGTGCTCCATGAATGGTGCACAAAATGCTTGACGGTGTGGAGGTATCAACCCACGTCCTTGCTGCATAATAGAGCATTGCGAGGATTAGCGAGTCGAAGAGGTAAGCGTGTAGTCTCGGGTCCATTAGCTGGACGCTGAATTCTTCGAGAGGAGCGAATGTGGTCTATGGCGCTCTCTTCCTGTCTAATTCTTCCTTCATGTTGTTTTCCATATGCATTGAACGTCCTAGTTACGAGGTGGTTTCTGTAATCAGAGAACCATGTCCTATTCGATTTGTTCGCCTTGGTACCCTGAATTCTTCACGGACTGGGTCTTTGTCCTATTTATTCACAATCCAGCGTTCTTACCTCTTTTATTGAATTTATCAAACATCTCTGCCTCGTTGCTTCCCCGTGAAGACCGCGATGTCATCAGCAATGTGAAGGTCTGACAGGAATTTGCTACGAATGCGTACGCCCTTCTCGTTCCAGTCGACTGACTGCGATGCAGCTCTGAACAGCTTTGGTAGCACGATCTCGCCTTTTCGGGCTCGTTTTCGTTTGGGAATGGTAAGGAGTCGATGGGGAAGTTGTTTTATGTATGGAAACTGTATTATCTTGGAGTCGTAACGCAGCTTACGGTACGTTCGAGTCTAGCAGCTTGTAAACCCACATTGCATTACACTGTACATTTTTCCGTGTATTCCTCCTTTCCTATTTTAATCCTTTCCAAACTCTAAAGTGTTCTCTGTATGATAATTGCTTCACCAATTTGGATTATCTAAACTTTGGACCACAGTAGTTACTATTCTATGACAAAAGCCCTTCAGTCTCTGCCTAAACAGAAAGCAATAATGACGGATTAACATGATATTAGATTATGTCAGTCTTCTTTAAAGAAACACAAAGCAAGTGAAAGAAAAAAAGTGATGCATTAGTTCTCCTAAAACCATTCTGTGATTCTATTGTTGTTGTTGGAGCAGTTGTTAAGTTTCATTTTGTTAGCTTTGTTACATATTCTTTAATTGTTATTACAACGAATATAAAAAATCTATTCATACTCCAAAAAATCGCAGTGATTCTTCAATGCAGTGGATATGTGCGGAACCAGCATAGAATAGAAGCTGTGCATATTGACCTACTTTGTGAGATGTTTCGTATATTTATTTATATGGTCTTATAAACTGATCTTCTTTAGCTGATGCGAGCTTAGTATAGGGCTTCGTTGTCATTGTTGTTGTTGCTGCTGTTGTTCGTGCTGGTCGATGGCTGACGTTTCGGCGGTTTCGCCTTGCTCAGAGCCGTGATGTTAATAGTGGGACGAGCTCTGCTCTGAGGAAGATGAAATCTCCGAAACGTCAGTCATCGACCAACAACAGCAGCAGCAGCAGCAGCAACAACAACGACAACAACAACGACAAGGAAGACATATACCAACCTCGCATCGTCTAAAAGGATCAGTTTATAAGACCGTATAAATAAATATATCAACCATCCATGCCGAGGTTTATAGAAAATCGGTCCTTTGAGTTATTTCGTCTCGTAGTTTTCGACTTTTTCTAACACGACCACCCTTGCAAATATGAGCTGCTAAAAAGCGGTGTGCATTGTTTAAAAAACCCTTTATTTAAGAAATAAGTGGAGGACAGTGCTGTTGGAACTATTTATTAATTCTATCTAGACTATTAATTCTGCTACAAATTTCAACGGTAATATGCTTGGAAGAGATCGAACACCTTGGCTTTTCACTAGTCGAAGCCAGCAAGGATAATCAAATTCAATAGAAATCACTGTTCTTTTTAACCGACGCTTGGTTTCTCACACCATTCTAGGCGTTTGGTTTTCGTGTTAAATCTGAGACCGACTGAAGATCTCTTGAACACCGTGCAGCACACGTCCTGCGGACACCGTAGTCCGTTCGCAGCAACGGTGGCTTTCACTCGTGCTATCTCTTCGGGCCAAGGCAGATTGTCTAAATCGAGGTGTTCTACTCATTCTCTAATTCTCGTCTGTGTCTGTCTAATGTTTAGCGAAAGCGTGAGGCACTTTGAATTTGAAACACAGAAATAGAAAGATGTAATAGTTATTCCTATTCAACCATTCATATTCCTTCGCGCCAAACCCTTATTCATCATTATCCCTTTTCAATTCTTCACTGCCTCACGGTATCTGAGTAGGTTCCCAGGTGCTATGAGCTTATGTGTATAAAGAAAGGTTTATCTTCCTGTTCCTATTATATACCTTACTTCGTAAAGAATGGCCGCTAAAGTACAAAGCATTTTTAAACATTGGCATTGACAATGAATTGAGTGCCAGCGTGGGCTAACTAGGGGTCATCTGCAGGAGTATACGCCTTGCGTTCGTTTTCCAATTTTGTTAATTTGCTTGATTTGCAAAGGTGTATGATATCACTAGATACAATTAAAAAATAAAAAAGGGAACAAAATGGAAGGTAGGAAGAATGAAAAAGAACCGAGCACAACAAAATCGAATTTGTAGATCGGTGTATTGCATATCCTTATCTATCCTTTCATTACTTATTAATGGAAAAGAATCAATTCTCACTACGATGGGAAATGACTGTTGTCAGCACCAACCACTCATTTGCTGACTACCTTGCCGAGGAAGATTTCATTTTCAAATTCATCTCCTATTCATCCCAGGGCCTTATTACACTAGTAGATTGTGATTTACCTGAAGCAACAACGGTTTGGTTCTGCATCGTCACCGTTTCTTTTTCTTCATCACAAGGTCTGCTCTCCATACCACAATATACACGACTGTCACAGTCTCTCCGTCGATGCTGCATGCCATCTGCACACTTCGACCATTTGATTTGGGTCTCCGAGGAAACCACCACCTTTTCACGAGTGCCTAAAGTTGATTTCGTTTATGTTTGAATTTTTGAAAACAAGATAACATTTTGTTCCGTTCATGAGTTTACATGATGAGAAGAAACAAGAGACGGAGAAAAAGGAGATAAAATGGGTGATTACTGATAGTACAGATAGGGTATGAATATGGCTAAGAGAAAAGCAAGGCAAGGGTCTTCGTTGGTGCGATGGATAGCATGCGAAACGCCGGAAAGATTAATCGCAGGTTCGGAACCCGACCCGAGGTTCCGAGCTATGCAAATGTCTCAGCATTTCTGTGGTTGTTTTGCATTCGGTTCAATCTGTTCCCTTGTATCTATGGTCGACGAAAAACTTCGGGTTCTTTTGCGCGTTCGGTTGGTGCTTAGGAATGCCTTTGCTTCTTATGAACCTCTTTGATTGTTGCTCGGGTGTATTCTTCTTAAAATCCTAACACAGATTTGCTAGATCGCTTCTAGGTTTTTCAAAGACCGCATTTAGTCGCCTGTCATTGTAATTCGAATGGAGTTTTACCTGAAAAGTTTACTACCAACTCTCGAACCCGAAAGAGATGGGGAGCTTGGTTGGCCCGGGGTCAGGTCGAACCAATAAGGATAGTGCGCTGCACTGCATCTCCAGAAGGTACAATTGGCCAACATTTCTGTCTCTTTGGTGCTCTACATTGGTGCCCAAGGATTTTGGTGGCATCAGTACGTAATAGGAACTATTAAGAAAAGCTGTGAGCTTGCAAAAAACAGAAGAGTGATCGTTTCTGACCGAGATAGAACTAAATGATGTGACCCATCGTGCAGTGACCAGAATTCTAGACGCCTAATTAATATAGTTTCTGCAGCAGTAAACTAGAGCTAATTTTGTTCCAATGTGATTTGAGCCATTTACCACTGAACTCTTTAAACTCCTGATATTCCAAACCTTCATGGAGAGCTACATAGAAGTGTATACTGTGTATTAACTAACGATTTACCGAATATTTTAGCGGCATGTAGTCGTTCCTGTACTCGTGGTTCGTCGCAGCCGATTTCGAAGTAGTCCACAATGTCCGTGTTTTCCTCGGTAAACAGGTTTTTCTGTGTGTGACGGTCCTCAGAATTCAGGATGCAGTTTAATTGACTCTCCTTAACACACGACAGGATATAAAGGTTCAGCTAATAAAGGCGGAAAAGGTTAACACAACTAAATGCAAAGAAATTAAATAAGCTATGATATCTTCACTTTGCGAAAATGGCGGAATCTGCTAAAAAAGTGATGACGTCAAAAAAAATTAGGTACACCTTGGTGAACGATGCTAGAACTTAATGCTAAATATTACAATCGGAGATCACTAGTGAATCGGTGAAAAGCCTACAGATTGGAAAGTGTCTTGCGTAAAACAAGCTCCACATCTACTTGCAAGCAAGACATGAGCATACTCAGAGCCCATGGCAGATCTCGATAGGCTACTCGTGAAAACCGTTCGCCAAAAATACCAGTAATGAAAGGTCTCGAACAAAAAGCGTAGAGCTGTCGGTGTACTCTAGGGAGCCGGCCCACTTCGAAACTCCAATAAAAATTAGACTAAATAGAAAACCAAAAAGGAGCAGTAAAATCGATAACTACTGAATAAAAATTATAAAAAGAGTGATGGGATCTGACCTCGAAAAAATACATTCCGCTGGTACAATTGAAGCCAAACATTTTTTGGCTGTCAAAGCAGTGCTCGAAGCAGATCTCAAATGAACTGGCATCGGTGACAGTCTCGGCAAATCCGACCAAAATCATTTGTGGAAATCGTGGAAACGATGACGAACACTTTCTGAAACCATGAATCATCTAAAGTCTGAAATAAAGAAGGAGACGACATTTCTATTTCATGTGGAAGGATCGACGTCCGGTCGAATCCTAAGAAGGCGATGTTTGTAAGAGACGCGTCTATTTCTGACGTTCAGGTAATTTCATCGAATGCTTAATCTGTGTGAATTTGAGTTTTGAACTCAAGAAGGTGAACAATTTGTTCCTAAAACTGATCACGAGGAGACGAGAGAATTATAGAGCTTTTAATGATATCGAGTATGCATCCATGAGAGGATGCAATGAAGAGTAAAGGAAGTATGAGTCCACGCCCACCTTTTCGACTCTACGATTCTTCCTGCCTTAAGCTAGGAGTAATACACCTGAACGATACGTAAGCAGGATGAATGTTATTTAGTTTACAGTCGAAAAGGAGATGCTGGGAGTATCTCATATTACATAATTCGAAGAGCGAATTCAAACTTCCGACACATGTCAATATCCAACATTATCAGAGACGCCGTTGAGCACACCAAAATTTTGAAAATTAGGTGGCCCACACATTTGATGCGTCTGAACGAAAACGGATGGATATGAGATGTTAGAGAGGAAATTCCGCGGGTTGTAAAGTGCATGCAAGGAAAGTCACCGACTTGGTGATCAGATTCTTCGCCAAGAAACTAGATGGAAGATATGATGCTCGACAAGGCTTTAAAGTGAGCGGAATCCACTACTGGACATGGAAGAGAGATTTGTAGACTATTAAACTACTTTGCTGGCGCATGCTCTAGTCATGGTCACCTTCCACCATCACTAGACAGTCGGGCAATATTAAATTAGTGTGAGAAACGTACTACAGCACTTCCAAAGTATGGCGGACTAAGGATAAAGTTGTAACCATCGTACGAAATGATCTTAATTAACATGATTTTCCATCTATTTCTTGCGTTATTGCTTTTGCATGGCGCGAAAAACCTGATGAGTTCTTTCTTATTGTTATGTATGAAATCTCAAAAATAAATGCACTCTACCATCGGTGCATCACATTCCCATAAAGCCATTTTTGAAAACCATTTAAGTCAAGAAACCATTTTGAGACCAAAGAAAATAAAGCGAGCCTTTCTGGATCGTCAGTCACGCATATTTTCTCGTAGTAGAAGGCGTCCGTACGTTGTTGAAGTTGACCATTTCCAACTGGAACAGCCGTCTCTGACGAGAATGAGCAGTTCGGTCGCACGAAGTCGAATGATCGGCAATCTAACGCATGCCCAGAAATCTTAATAGAGATCTACATGGACAGACCTATGACTGCAACAAGTATAGGAAGAAATATTTGTAAAAGAACTCAGGTGTAACAAGGTGAGTTAAATCAGCAGTTATCATCGTTGCGTTTTTCACTAATAAAGTATGATAACTTAAAAATGTTGCTGAGATATTTGTAAAATTCCGGACCGCAGGCGTCTGCGGAGAGGAACGAACGCGCTACTGCCCTTTCCGGGGTTGACCCGTTCACCACCACACCATGCGGGTCTTTTGCTTCGTTTGTCTCTCAGCTAGTTCTATCGATCAGTGCCATCAGCAATCACCCGGCAACGGGATTGGTCTGTAGAGCTCGAATCGGCAATGAACCCAGTTAAGTCGAGGATATAGTCCAAATCACAATGTTAACTTTTTATTCACTGCCTATTATAATTTTTCACAGCAGTGTGATACAACCGCAACGATGCTGAGATATTTGCTGAGTGAAACCGTGAGAGGTGAAACGAAGGATTCGTATGGTGTGGTGGTGTGGCGTTAGCCCTCAAAAAGGGTAATAGCACGTTAGTTCCCACCGCGGACGCCTGCGGTTCGGAGTTTTGCAAATGTCTCAGCATCATTGTGGTTGTGTCACACAATACCCTGACGTGAAAAATTGTGATAACCAGTAAATGACAAGATTAGCATTATGATAACTTCGTTTTATCCCACACAATCGGCCAGTTGATGAGAACTTTAGAAGTTCTATCCTTAACCTCAACTTTAGAAACTTTGAAAAGCATTGGAAATCTACTTGTCGCTCGTATCAACGAAGAAGCTACACAGGCTTGAATTATTAATATTTTCGAGAATATTATGATTTTGAAGCATTTTAAAGACATCTCGCAACATCCATCACCTAACGACAACATCTCTGTAAAACTTCATAAGCGATCTCTTCACTAGAAAACCTTGCAAATCGCAAAAAATTTTAGACATTCCAATTTAGCATATTGGGAATATTTCTTAAAACATTAAGAGCGACAGATCGAAATGTGTGGCATAGGAATTCGTCACTATCAGGAGGATTGCCGTTATTTTTCTCTTTCCTTGCAAGTTCCTACTAGTTACTACTACTTCAGTCGTATGGCGTGTCGTCTACATGCTGCTCAACACAAACCACAGTAAAGAATAAAGTCAGTACTGAAAATTACAAATCCCTGTTATAGACGACGGTCCTGATGGGGCGAAATGATTGCAAAGCATACTCACGCCAGCAATACTCGTACTGTTGGACTATGGAAGAAGCCAAGGGAGATGTTTTGAACCTGCTAATTCTGAGGAAATAGTCATGTCACTTCAGAAATGAAAAATTCGTCGCTTTGGCTGCGAGCATAGTTTTTGTTCACTGGTGGATTATTTCCCAAATCGAAGCGAATTTTCGCCCAGAATTAAGCGGGTGTCTAATTTTTCTTTAAATGTGTTCTAACTTACTACTACCCTTATTAATTTAGATTTTGCGAAATTTGTATGAAACAGCAGCTACTTTTAAATCCCCACAAGTGTTTCATAAGGCTTCAAAAACTTTATAGGAAGACAAAGACGAAATATTTTCTGATAAGAATAGTACTTCATGCTGCCTCGACTTGTATTGAAACTGAAATGAATTTGAGTTTGCTGAATATACGTTGATAACGGACATCTGATTGGTTGAAAGGAAGAAGTTAACCAACGAGTAGCCAATCGTACTTTTAGTAAGGGATCGGATGTCACCTATTACCTAACCCATTACTCCTTATGAACTCTGTAAAGAGAATGGCGAAGTGAAGAAAGAAAAGAATAAGAAACCCAACTGACATTATTCCTTTGACAAGCGGAGATGCATTCACTGACATCCGATACCTGCATCGTGATGTCGTCGTTCTTGTATAATTCGAAACCTTCAGTGCGCAGAAAACTGGAGAAAAAAACCCTTACAGTATCACTTATGTATATTGCTAAGTAAATAGTGTGTATCTCCAGCAAAAACCCAAAACCGCAAGATTTTTTTAGGTATATTTCTTAATTATAAGACCTTTTTGCAAATCTTTTTCGAGACAAGATGAGAACAACGCTAGTTGCAGCTCGTTGAAACCGGGATTGGTGGCGCAGTGGTTAGTGAGGCGGTTCACTAGCAAGGAAAGTCCTCGTTCGAGACCCCCCTCTTCCCCCGTCCTCTTGACCCTTAGCACTGTTCTTCTGTTAATGTGGGAAATCCTTAGCCCAGCTCTCCCCGAGATTCCAAGAGAGTCGACTGGACCGGCATTTTATGACATTCTTCAAGACGAAATCCTCAGGCAGCAGCCAAAATAACACACTAAATGTTTGAGGACCATCACATATGACGGATATGAAGAAAGTGAATCGAATGAAAGAAGCGTTGTCATCCCACAGTAGATGTGATGACGGCCACGCAAAAACTAAGAAAAAAAGTAAAAATTTTGTTTATTTCAATCTATGAAACTCTTATAATGATTTGAAGTGCAATACGTACAGCAACGTAAACATTAGAAAGTCAGAGAGTTTGTAAACTATGGAAGGCAATCCATAGCAATTTACACAAAAGACGAACTACTTTGCAACTAACTTTAAAAATTTTGGATATTTCCAGCTCCTCAGCAATAGAAATCACGTCATTTTGCAAAAGTACAGTTTAAGCATTCTTGACTTATAACCAAAACGATGCTGAGATAATTGCAAAATTTTGACCACAGGCTGGATCGAACTGCGACTACTCTTTCCGAAGGCATGCGTGCTACCCATAGCACCACAGAAGTCTGCTTTATACCTTTCTCTCACCCACCTTTTTACGATAACGATGCCAGCGATCACCTGTCAGCGCGAATGATCTGAAGAGCACAAATCGGCAGTAAAGTTAATTAATCCTAAGCTGAATCAATTAAGCCGAAGCTGAATCACAGTGTATATGTTTTATCTACTGTCCTTTACTGGTGATTGCTGATTGCACCGTTAGAGTAAAAAGATCTGCTAAGAAAAAAGCAGAACGAGAGCCTCAGTGGTGCTGTGCGTAACATGTAGACGTCCCGGAAGGGGGTAATCGCCGTTCTATCTGGTCTGGAGTCGAAATTTTGCGAATATCTCAGCATTATTGTGGTTGTATTTCAAATAACACCCTGTCGTGAAAAAAATAATAGGCAGTATATAAAAGTTATACATCTTACCTTTGCAGTTGATGCATTACTATTACAACTTCGAAAAGTCCTCCAAACGGTTTGCCTCCTTATCGTAGCTGGGTGATGTTCCTGGATGTCGGACTGCGATGCACACTGGGGATTCATCACTGGTAGGGTTTCCCAAGCGTAGAAGAAGTCCGACGTTTTCCTTAGGAAACCTAGCTAAGAGTAAACCAATACCAGGATCCACCACTGTCCTGGTATCAAAGTCGCATGGTGGCCAATCTCCCTTTGATCCACAAGGGCTGCGACTACCTGTGGTGGTGAAGACCTGGGGCAGGCTTTGGCTAGTCTGACCTCGAAATTCCAAGGAACCACAATGACTTATCCAGCAAACAAGTATCAAGTACATTGAAAAGTTAGTATTGCGTGAACCACGTATTTCATAAATGCTATTACTGCACTACCGTTGGCAGTCTTCTTTCTACATTATTGCGTCTTCTTTTCATATACGTGGACGTTGCCCCTTACTAAGCCTTTGCCGTACCTAACTTTCCTGCCCGGTGGACAGAACTTTACAGCCGTTTTCTCTTGCGAATTCCGGGAATCAACTTTGATGACATCCACCAATTTGTCGACGACGTTGGCCTCTTTTCGATGCTTTGGCTTTGATTCACCAAGAACGCCTGTAAAACAAGTAATTGACAAGATCTCATCTATTTAGTTCTACTAAGAAGTGTAATCGATTTTAAAAAGAACAATCAAATACCCAACGAACTGTTGCAGATAAGTTGTGATTATACTCAATCGATATATGTATTTTGAAATCCTTTAGAATAGTAAATATTGTTGAACTTAGAAAGAATTCTTTGTTCATTAGAGATGCGTTCCAGAAACTTGTAAAAGTGGATAAATTGATTGGCCATGTCCATTTCGATTCCAGCTTTTGCACTTCCTCGTTCTGTTATTCCCTGTTTACCAGTATCTAAGAAACTAAGTTATTTGTTCCTGACTTTCTTCATTCGATGTCATTATAGATGTCGCACCAAAAGTTATAGGTGGTCTGACCATGACTGCGGATAATTCCGATTTAGAATTGTCGTATACTAGTTCCCCGATGGGGTGACCGAAGGTGCTGAGGAGTTCAGTGTTTCTATTCGAAAGTAATCCGAGAGTGAACCAATGAGAAGAATCGCCGTGATCTAGGGCAAATAGCCAAGACTACAAGTAAAGAAAAACCTTGCGGAAACAGTAGTATACGAGGCAAAGGGGAAAATGCGCTTTGTAACCTCGAAGAACTCATTGCAATGATGTGTTCGTTAATTGCATCTTCATTCGATTTCATCATTGCCATCGTGGAAATTTACTTATTTTACATTACTTTCATTTCATTTTATCTACCTCTAATTACAATAGGTATCAATTTGAGCACATCGCCAATGAATTTTTTTCTCTAATTATAAGCAAACAAAGGCACTGCGTTCAGTTGTCCTTGTGGGTAGTGTTCCGACGGTTTCGAAGACGGCCATTTGGGTTGTACTCGTTGTCGGCCACATCCCCGTCTCAGCGAAGCTAAAATGTAGGCGCCTTCATTTCAACTAGATAAAACCTTCACCATATCTTTTTTACCGCTCTTTTTCATGTCACACATTGAGACATGACGTTCATTGGCATCACTTTTAACTATCGTACTCACTTCAGACACTGAACGACATGAGTGGGCTCGAAGTAATCGCGGGTTTGGAATTTCAGCAGACGTGCTGGTGGCTGATCGCCGACATGAGAGAATAAGTCACATACCTAAACCATATGAATGGTTTCGCTAAGGTTTAATTCATCTTCGTTTCCACCACTAACGGAGAATATATTTGTGCTTTATAGCAACAATCAAGAGTTCTTCTATAGAATTTTATGGGCTTCAGACACCATCGCCACAGAAAGTACGATGAAATAGATATTTTACACTATTTATGATGTTTCCCTAGGAATTCACGCACCATATATTCCTTCACTATCGCCTGAACTCTGTAGTTTGAGATATGGTTCGTACAATTCAGAATTCTATTCTAATTTCGTGTCCAATCAAGAACCATAAAGTCCACGTAGTTCTAACCGTCGGATGTTTGTTAAGCAGTTTTATAATCAAATTCATTGATATTACATTACTTGATTTCCCTTCGAGAATTGTGTGCTACCTATGTAAAGTGAATTAGAAATACCTGATTAATGTTATCATAAATAAATGAGCGGCAACTGTAGACGCCGGTCTGGCTGTTCAAACAATGTGATTTACACCGAACCAGGGAGATTGACGATCTGAAAAACATCCTTTTGAGTCCAAGTATTGCTTTCCACGCTTGTTTTATTGGGTATTGTAAAATTAGCATCTTATCACAGCGATCGGTAGTTATAGGTAAAGTAGCAGCGAAAGCCGTTACAGTAACTGTAGCCGACCATCTTACATTTAGTACAGCTACTTTGTAATGATCTGAAAAGGGCGCAATGGTTGTAGGCGCCACTGCGGCACACACGTGGAATCGACTCCGCGCCCATGGCCTACCAAGCTTTCCATCCCTCCGGGGTTGAATTAAAGGTACCAGACTTGTCCGGAAGAATAGCAGCACTAGCTCGATACATCGGTAGGCCACCATGAGTCATTGAAAAGGCCAAATATGCATTCAATTACCTCCAGCGATAATTAACGAAGCAATGCATGGCGCAACCCTCAGGGATTAATCAATGCAGAGAGCTTTAGACTTTTGCCCTTTTTACTTTGTAACAATCATTGGATGACAAGACTAGACAACTAGAAGCGTTCCATTCATCGGCAGCAGCACGTTTAGCACGGTTTACTTCTGGTTTTTAGGCTTAAGGTTAGTGTTATTAGCACGACCAGCTTTCGTTACACTGAAGCTATTACCGAGAGTAGTAAGATGGAATTATTTTCAAAGCAAATGAATAGCGACGTATTCAGACTGTTTATGCAACGGAATTGGTCGCCGCCTTAAAGTGACGACGAGCACTTAGCCCATGAACTCGTAGTCTTTTCTAAGGCTGCTTGTTATTGTAAAAAAGACATGTTTTGCAACCATAATGAAGGTGAGATATTTGCAAAGCTCCGGAGTGCAGGTGTCTGTGGTGGGGATTGCACGTGCTATTACCCTTTCCGAGGGATAACGCGTTCACCACCACACCAATCGGGTCCTTCGTTTCCTCTCTCACTCAGCTAGTCTTCTATCAACCAGTGCCATCAGCCCGTTCACGGGTGATTGCTGATAGCAGTGGTAGATAGAAAACTAGCCGACAGACAAGCGAAACGAAGAACCCGCATGGTGTGGTGGTGAACGCGTTAGCCCTCGGAACGGGTAATAACGTGTTAGATCCCCACCGCAGACACCCGCGGTCCGGGGTTTTGCAAATATCTCAGCATCATTATAGCTGTATTTCACATCGTACCCTGCCGTGAAAAACTGTGGTAAGCAGCAAATAAAAAGTTAACATAGTAAGTTTTGTTTTACAATGAAGAAAACATCACGGATTACCTCCTCTCATATGGTTGTGCATTCACAATAATACAGTTCGCATAACGGCGATAGCAAGGATCATCTGCAAACAATAATGATAATGTCGAATCCATAAGCTTAAGTCTAATCCTAACCCTAAGCGTAATCAACTTGAATTCAGTTAATCGCTAGCCCAGTACATCACCTTGATTTTCAGCTATTCACTACGATCTCTATACAAAGCTGCTTAAGAATACAAGAGACGAATTTCTTTTCGCAAAGTTCGAATATCCATATTCATTGTCAGTAACGTTAAGTAGTACTAGTGTAATCGCTTACTGGAAAGGAAGACTACTAAATTTGTAAAGTAAGCAACGAAAAACAGGCACAAAACCAAATTTCAATCTAGGCACTTGTGAGCCACTGAAGCGATCTCCTAATTCCTGCAATACATGGTTTTACATGCAAGTATAGAATTAGAAAGGACTTAAAGTAGTCCTTAGGTATGTGTGGAGAATTTGTTTAGAAATTTCAAATGAAGCTTGTTCGCTTTTCAGTAATTTCTAAAAAACGACATCTGATCGCATTAGCTCATTTATTAAGTGATGGATATTTTTCCGAAGAACAATGACCGACTGGTGTCCGGAATTCCGGCGACCACTTGGCGCTGCTCGGCGGAGTCGCGGTCGACCTGCAAACGAATGATAAGCAGGGGCGAGAGCTTCATCTCCCCACATTTCTCGTCCAACTTAAATCGAGCGCATAGAAAGCGACATTACGCCACAAGCAAGCCGGTCATTATCTAGCAAAAATGTCAGAATTATATCCAAAATGAGGCCGAAAATACGAGGACTCGAAACTCCAGTTGAGCTTCGAACTCGTGATTACCCTTTCCGAGTGTTATCCATTACACCATCAAAGCACTTGTTTGGCGTATTCCTCTCAACCAGTTTTTTTTACCTTAACCATACTAGCAGCAATAACCCGTCAAACGAGCAATGGACTAGGTTGGTGCAATGAATAACACTTCGGTCCCCGGAAAGGGTAATCGCAAATTCGAAGCGCAACTAAGATTCCGAGATTTGCTAATATCTCAGCGTCGTTGTGGTTGTATTTCATATAATATCCCACCATCGAAAAAAAATAATGGGCAGTAAATAAAACCGAAATACGTCAGAATTAATATTTGTATATCTAAAAAACTGTGACAAATCATAGGCAGAAAGTTCTCGAAATATTTCAAGGAGCCGCTCTGACTGCTTTCACGCAATTTAAATACTTTAATGAGAAGTGATGTTTTAATTCAAAGTTGCTTTCAACGTAGTGATGACGGTATTTTTCACTAGAATACTATTGGAATTTCTTCTTCTGAGCAGGAAACACGGCAACCCAACCCACCTGTACACTTGGATTCGGCAAGGCGGTGGCCTGGTAGCCCGCGTGGTTCGACTTGGAAGGAAAAGTTTCTACCTAAAGAAGCTCGTGGTTTTAGGTGGTTAAGCTTGCAGTTCGTGTTCGCCTACCCGACGCTGTGGCTGTGCGCTAATGATGTTAGCAGATTTCTCCTTTTTCTCCTCAGAGTAAATGTAGACGGCATTCTGAAAGTGATATCTTTGTATACCATAAATCTACGTTATCGTAAAAATATTTGCAGCCAAATATATCTAGGACTGGACACTGCAAACATTTTTTAAACATCCTTAAAAAATTATCATAATCTAAAAAAACCACGAATGACAATGTATCGATTTTTTTGATATGCTGCCTCTTTGCTTCACAATGTCACTACGTTTCAAAAGACCGAGTAAGAACGACAACTAATTATTAAAATTTGCTAACTAACAAAAGAACACCTCTGCTTTTATCGTGTTTTTTTGCTTGAAAGTAGGAAAATACAGAGGATTGGTCGAATGCAGAAACACATCACTGAAATATACATAATAAATAATAGACTTCACATATCACCATCGAGATTTCACCGCCTCAGTGTAGCGGGTAGGTGGGGATGGTGGGGTTTGGGTGTTGGATTGTAACATGCAGCAAAAGTTCTCTCTCAAGTCATAGCCAACTAAGCCAAGCTGGGAAAGGATTCAAGGATTTCCATGCTGATATTCAATGAAGGGATATCAATACAACGAATAGCTGCCATCCAAGAAATCTTGTCGCAAAATGACAAAGCTCTTATCGACCCACAGAGTTTGGCGAATTTCTCGAGCAACTGGATCGATAAAACATAACAAAGTGATCTAGAGAATTCAGAAAAAACAAAGGTCCAATCAAAAGAATACCAATAAAATGAAAAATATAATGGAAGCCTCACCATTCTTTGCCAAGATGGCCCATTCAAAAAAAAAAAACATTATTAAGAGATGCCGCCTCTATCCTCTGCAATTCTGATAGTTATTGCTTCTGAACAAGCACCATAAATGTATAGGCTTCCTTAATTCTACGGACACGAGCAGCAGCACACATTATACGCAAAAGCCTTTTTCTCTCTACTGTTTTAAAAGATACTCTCCTAATTAGCTCACCCCAAGTTTCTGACCGACTTGACTCATAGGATACAGCTTTATTTAAAAAATACTCAAGCGCATATGTGTGAATATATCGTATATAGCAAAGGATTTTATAACATGCATATATCTCCGAAATTGCAACAATGTCTACGAGCTCTAGAATCTCCTTTAGAGCAATAACTCTAGCATACTCTTGCACTAACTCCGCTCACTCCATTAGTACCATTTAAGGATCCCCTCTGACTTTTCACGTGATCTAAACCAGCATCCTGTCACGCTTCCCCTCGCCATATTCTTCGTAGATCTGTATCAACGTTTTTCGTCGCATTACTTAGGCAGTATATTACAGAAGAGATTTTGCTATCGTTAATGCTCCTTCTCACTTGTTCTGTCATCTTTCAGTGTTGATCACATTACTATACGTATTGTTTATATATACATTGATTAATTTCGCCATGTTAATATCGCTTTAAAATATTGTTTATATAAGAGTTTAAGTGCCCAAGTTTGAAGTTTGGCGGAGCAGCTAATCAAAAAGAGTCGCATGGGAGAGCAGCAAACAACTTCTTACATATCATACATCTTACTGCATTATTGATTAAAATGGCCTCCTTTTTAGAGAGGAAAGGACATTTTTGAATTTTTGAGGGTAGCAATAAAATCCGTTGATTGTGGACAGACCCGCATTCCTTGAATTATCCATCTTCCTTTTCCGTGTTCCACTAAATACTGAGAAACCAACTTACTTACGAATAATAGCAAGTAATTTATATTGGAGGACAAACTTGAACCACATACATGTGTAATGCAAAGAATAAGCATTGATCAACCATGTTCATAAAGAGACTATTTTGTACTCAATTTGCAAAATGTATTGAATTAACGTCTATGATCCATAGACATAGAAGCATATTCAGTCCTACTCAAATAATCAACGACTTAAACTCTTGTGTGATAAATAAAAGGATATGGAAAGCCCATTACCAGAGATGCCGTTCAATAACACGTGCACAGCAGTCGCTTGGAACCTACACCGTACTTACTAACCCCACCATCTCATCGAGATCTTGGAATTGGTGTTTCTCGACGAAAAGCTCCTTTAACAAAGCGGGCGATTGCTTCCAGTGAACACCTCGGAACGCGCTAGCACACATATGCCAGAGTCCCAGAGAAAATCTACTCGACTGGCACTCACATTCATAAGACCAAAATCATCAAGAAACGATGGAGTTCACATGCAAATCTGCAGGCACTCTTAGATAACGGATAGAAGAAAACAAATCGAATGAAGGAAGTGCTAATATACACATTTTGTGACGCAGGGTCATCTAGTAAGGAGACAAATAAGGTGGCAGCCGCTATGATACTGAGATATTTGCCAAACTTAAACCTCAGACCAGATCAAACCGCGATTACCTTTTCCCAGAGCTCACGTGTTACGCACGGTATCACTAAGGCCCTTGCTTTAGCTTTCTCTCAGTCAATTTTCTAACTAAGAGTGTCATCAGCAATCACTCTTCAACGGCAAGAATCTAGCAAGCACAAATCGGCACTGAACCCAGTTTAGCTGAGGATGTAGTTTAAAAAGAAGCAATGAAAATGAAATTATAGAAAAGAGGTTGATGACCAAAGCGGTGACCTATGGCGATAATTACAACGAAAAACGGTGGTAAATGAACTAGTAGATGCCACCTCTCCTTGTAATCGCCACTTGATGTGATGTCCTCGAACACGTCGCTGGAGTTCGTTGTTGCTGGTCTGACGAGAACCAACACAAGCAGTATAGTGAATTGCAGCCACTTGTTGGATCGACAAAGGATGTACCTAAAAAATTTATTACCTTGCTCCCCACACTTTTGAGCTACTATTTCTATACCTAGGATCAACTCAAGTAAACAAAATCGTTCTAGTTTACAATTATTGAAGTTGCGGTATTGTAAATAACTATTGAAGCAAAAAGTGAAGATGATGCAGCCGAGATGTACTTCAGCAATTTTTCAATACAAGTGCTATGATTCGCCGAAATTTTCAACAACATAAATGTCTCACGCAACTAACATTAGATACATTAGAAAAAAAATGGTGCCCCTGTATTCCATTAACACACTGGCGATGAGGTGCAACGATATGCATCATATATTCAAGTACAGATCAGGTGAAAAACAAACTGCCGAAGTGCATACACGATTCACTTTGTTACGGACTGTTTACTTTTCCGTATAGTTTTTTTGCCTGCTTTTTGAAAAAGAAATATGATAATAGTATATAATGGGAAAAATAGAATAAAAAATACAACAGTAGTATATAATACAATAATAGTATACACTTACTTGAACTTGAACGGCCCGTCCTCACTAGTTGTTCCCCAACTTATTCGTCCCCTCACGCTTTGCAAGAGATCAGATAGACTGTACCCGAACTCATTCAGTCACCGTCTCTACCATTGGGACAAATTATGCAATTTTGTGTTGCACATAGACGGTCGTACAGGCGGTTACGAACTAGCTGGCGCCTTAGATTACTCGGTGGTATTTCGATTATCGTTACCGAATTCTCTAGACTGGCCCTTCATGCTTATTTCTGTTTATACATGTTTATTTCTTCTTCGTGTTGTGTAAGGAGTTCGAATATGGCTTGCATTGCGGAGTCATTCGACACGTTTGTATAAGGGGCGGTAACGTCGAAGGACTCCATCACACACGCGCTGTTGGGCTGCGCAGTACGTAGACGATCCAGAAACATCTGGGTATTCGTAAGATGGGCTGGAATGTGTTTCAACAACTGGTTAAATATTAGGGTTAAAAACCATGTTATCCTGTCCGTTGGCCCGTCTACGCAGCTAATGATAGGTCTAACCTTAAATAGTGACGGATCGTTAGACGCAAGATCATCGCTGGATACTAACTTATGAGTTTTTATAAGCAAGTACAAGACGGGTCATGTTGGTAAGTCAACTTTTAGTTGAGAGATAACTGATGGTTTTAGACCAGCAGCCCTTGCCAGTTTGACTCATTCGCGGTTCAATTTTCGGTATTTACTTTTAAACTCCTCATATGATGGGCGACGAAGTGAAGCATCTTCAAAATGCTTTTTCGTTATCTCAACATCTAACTGGTGGGGAATTACGACAAACTCTCCACCCTTATCACTAACGGATAGTCTTATGTTTTCCAATAAGAGATTAACCTTTTGTTGTTAGTGAAGGATTGCTTGACAATGGGAAGAAAAATTGTGCAATTGTGTAATTTCCACAAGGATCTTATATCATGCCACCCTCTCATCACCCAAGTCACCTTCACACATGAGCTTCGTTTTTTTTCTCAAGTTCACCATCACTTAAGGACAATAAAAAGCATAACTTCGACCTTTACTCCGTTGATAGCCTATTCTACGGTAACAATGCAAGATGATAAAATCTAGGCTTTGATAGAGATGCCCATAATTCCGCAACTATTGCCTTCAATTTCGATGAGATGCTTGGATGTTTCGAATCAATAGACTTACCTTATAATAAACATCAGAAGAATAACTGACGAGTCTTAGGCTTAGAGTGCTGACCTGTCTTCCATTTCTATAATGTGACCGCCTCCGTACATGTTATTGGGGCCAAATCGTCAGCGATTACCACAAAGTCTCAGCGAATCGTCATGACGATTTCGCTTGATCCTGTTTCCAACAAAGTCTATGCGGATTTACGGAGAAGGTTTTAAGTGTTTTCACTTGACTCCCACGGCCAGTAGTGAAGTTGGCTACCTGTGAACCAGTCTTGTGAAAACGGCTGGGTCTTGAAGAAGTACAAGAGCATTTACGGTATAGAAGGATCATAAGAGTATTTAGTTAATGATACAAGAACATAAACGGATCTATGAGCTACTTAAAGGCGGTCCGTCGCGGAGCTACATATGGAGTCTATGGGTCAGACACTTGTACCACCTTTGCCCATGTTGTTCACCGAGTAGAACTAGAAGCCATCATTCGTTTCCATGACGTGTAATAGTGGTGCAATGAATCTCGCTAAATTAGATATGTCGAACAGCATCGTAGTTTTCTTCCATTACTTTTGTGAACAAGTTCACACATCACACCGATAGTCTTCTTGTTGTGCGCTTGACGTTCTATTGACAGCCACTCGCAAGTTAGAACCTTGGACTCCCCTGTCACTTGCGTAATATGAGTTACTTTTAGTGTCCATTTCTCGGTAACGCCTACCAGAATTTTGTTTTGTTTACGAAGCCTCCGGGTTCGGCGTATGCTAAAGCAAAAAGAATCGCAAATTCGAAAGGATGAACCGGGGTTTTTTGACTTTTCGTACATATCGCGACGTCCCTGGTAACCGTATATATACACCCGTCCCTGGTACCTCTAGACCTTCAGCCCGCTGAATGTAAGTGAGGAATCGGGAACGAACGGTTCTGTGAAGAACTTTTCTTGGGAATCACTCATCGAGGTGTTGCCGCCTCGTCGAACCTTCTGGTCACTTTAATCATGGTGTCATTTCGGAGTGGAAAAAATCTAGCTTCCAGCCTGCACATGAAAATGATCCATGGTTTCCATGACCTCAATCTCAGTAGAATCGCAAGCATTGTTTAACTTGAATGAAGTATCGGTACATAAGGACATCCTCTTGTGAAACCTTAGTGAGTTTCGTCACCATGTAGACCCATTGTGTTAAATGGGTTTCGAAAACTGCTATTATGACACGGGCAAGGCAAGGCTTCTGTAGAGAGAGACACCAGTCAGATTCACTTAACATTAGCTCCCGTTACATATATATATATATATATATATATATATATATACATATACATATACATATATATACGTATATATCTTCCTATATATATATCTTATATATCTTCCTATATGTTGTACAGGAAGATATATATATATATATCTTCCTGTACAACAGCTCCATGGTTCGGTTTCGGATCGAATTTCGTCTTGTGCTAACACCACCATGACGGCATTGAATAAGCCGGCCACACTGCTCACACGTATCGCTGGAAACACCGTGCTCTCAAAAAGCACACAGCATGAGCTTATGAAAATTTTGAGTGGTATTCCTACTTCATATATCAGATTTAGTAGCTTTCTTCTCTTTGTGAAAGAAAAAGAATCTTACATGAAGTGAATGGTCCTATGCTACGTAAAATTCTGAGGTAACAACGACGTGGGTTAGACGAAATCCAAAATAACTGCGATGAGGCCGAATTTCACTTCGATGAGAGAATCACCTACACCAGACGCTTCATGAAGAGCTTCTGAATTATGATGCGCTATGAATAATTTGATATTCACGATGAACAAAGGCAAACTTTCATCTACTTCGTCCGATTCCAATTCGTGGTTGCCAAGGCGAAGTGCTTCCGCTGTTCTTCCGCGGCCAACCTTGACGTCTACGGTGATAACTTTTTGGAAGTTATGGCCTCACTAGAATCTATGCCTGTCCATATATGATGCTATGACCTCGTTTTCGTCATAGCTTGATGTTGAACATAGGCAAATAGCTGTCCGGCTTCACCTCGTTCGGGATCACCTTTCCATAGGTAACAAAGTTCACTTTTTTAATCGCCACATGGCAATCTTCTGCAGAGCGAAGTGAAAGCCAGTATCAGAGCAGATTTTTTTGGTTTCGTTAACACGGAATATCACCTAAGTAGCACGTGATGCACAAGCTGCTTTGGTTGAACTGTTTCCTCTCCAGGGTATGGATCTGTTTTGCTAGCATCCTATGGTTGTCAACAGTCGCCAATCATGTTGATCGAACTGATGCTTACAATCTTGTGACTAGGTTGCTACTAACAACAGCGTCCACTGCTGACATTAATCTACTCCTAAGTGGGTATCCGGATATCTTGATTGCTTTTAGAACTTGCCAGATCCTTCTAGCTGAATAAAACCCTGTCGTATATCGCATTTTAACACCTCAGGACCCTCCAAACCACAATGGTAAACTATTAGGAGTATTTTGCTCCATACATTGGAGAAAATGACGCGTGTGGAGCAGTGGTCGGGAGCGCCCTGTGACAAACATATGGGATCGATCCCCGCGCCCGTGGCTCACCAAGCCTTCCATCCCTCCGTCGGCCAGTTGGTGCCAGACTTGTCTAGGAGGATAGTGGCCCGATATATCGGTAGGCCACCGCGAGTCATTGCAAAGGCCAAATATGCATTCAATCACCGTCAACCATGCTTAATGAGGTCGAATGGGCATCACTCAGGGATTGATCAACGCCGAGAGCTTTATCCTTTTACCCTCTTATATGTGAGAATATTCGGTAAATAGCTCCAATTACCATGCAAGTTTCTGCTTATAACATGAACTGTATCCTCAGTAGAGCGCGTGTAGCGAAGTGGTTAGAGGTGCAATGCAACACACAACAGGCTTGGTTCCATTCCGCAACCTGGAACCACAAACCCTTCTGTACTTTCGAGATAGACAAATTGGTACAAGAATTATCCGAAGAGATAAAAAGACTGACTTCATACATCGGTAGACCGGCCTATGACACTGAATAGGCCAAATATGCATCCAGTCACCTATTGATAACCGCCGAACGTTTGAACTTTTACACTTTACACCATCAGCAAAAACAACACTCTGTTCCCAAAGAATTTAGGGAACACTTAAACGTTAGTTATAATGGCCGCTAGCGGCACGCAGTAGAAAGCCTTTGTGGAGCGTGGAGTTAATTGTTTGGTCTGAGGATTTCTACGGACACTACGCACTTTTCTTTAATTGTTGAAAAACCCGTTTTGATTTTTATTCTCTTTCTTGGACTCTTGTGTTTATTTCAGTTTCCTCTTTTAAGTGAAGGCTTCTTAGTTTCCCTGTTTGGTTTTTATGGTCTTAAACTGTTACTAGAAAGTTCTTAGATGGCATATTACGAAATTTTCGGATTTTAGTGTTTCCATGGGTCTTGAACGGCTTGAAAATGCCAATCCACTTATCTATGCCGTCAAGTCACGTGAGCGAACCAACACTGCAGATTCCATGTGGGTTACTTCCACAGTATCTTGGATTGGTACTCAGTTTTGTAATTTTTCCTACTGTTTACAAATCTGTGCGTTCTGCCTTTGTATTTGCCTTGTTCCTTATTCCTTGGAAATATTGGGTTTTCGTTTTCCTTTACCTTTAATAAATTTATGCTCGTAGGTTTATTTGAACCTTGCTTAGGAACGAATCCGTTGAGGATCCTATCGATGCGCTAGAGATCTTCGACCTCATTCGTGATATCAATGATCCGGAACATCCTTACACTTTAGAGCAATTAAATGTGGTACAAGAGGAGTTGATTAAAGTCTATAAGGATTCGAAACACACTTACGTTGATGTGAGGAGTTTATCATTGTGTTACTTTAAGTTGTTCTTGTTCCCCTTAGTGTATCCCAGACCTGGGAATGATTGATTTTCTTTAAGGTACGATTTACGCCTACTATTCCACATTGTAGTATGGCAACCTTAATAGGGTTGGCGATTCGGGTGAAATTGTATCGTTCCTTACATCCAAGAGTTAAGGTGAGGTTCCAGACTGTTAAAATTAGTTCTCTGGCCGATATGCGACATACTGATACCTTGTGATTCTTCTGCGATAGGACGATTTTTATAAGTGGTTTTCTTACTCTGTTTTCTTCCCTGGAGCGCATGTAGCGCAGCAGTCAAAAGAGTTCTGCAATATACATGGGGTGCATCCCCGTGCCCCAGACCCACCAAGCCCTCTATCCTTCTATGGTCAGCGGATTGGTACCAGACTTGTCTGGGAGGATAAATGCACTGGCTCGATACATTAGTAAGCCACCGGAAGTCACTGCATAGGCTAGATATGCATTCAGTCACCTCCAGCGTTTCTTAGGGAAGTCGAATGCATGCCGTGTCCCTCAGGAGAGATGAACGCTGAGAGCGTTGCCTTTTGTTTTATTTTCTTTTCACAGTCATATGAATTTTTCTGAAATATTAACTACGTCTAGGTTTGTGTTTCGATAACGGAAGGAAGTCATAATACTGAGGAGGCCATAAATCGGCAGTTGGCGGATAAAGAGAGAGTTGCAGCAGCTATGGAAAACACTAACCTAATGTTCGCAGTAAATCGTTGTTTAGCTCTTCCGGTGTAAATTTATTTCTTATGGGTTCAACTCATTTCTACAGCACGTTAATCCGTGACTTACTCTGTTGTTTGCAGTGGAGACGACGTATGTTTTATTGTTCTATTACTTGTAAACCCTTCTTAGCAAATATAGATTGAATAGTTTTTCTTTGGAGCAGTTTTTGTTCAAAACACTTTTAGACTCTAAGTGAAATATTTAAGTTTACTACAACCAGTGCTGCCATTGTTCACTGGTTTAGTGCTTTATATCTGCTTCGGAATAAAATGTGTTGGTTACAAGTAGTGTTTCATACGACTGTACTTCTTACCAGTATCTTTGGAGCATTATCTCGTTTAAGACTGCCGTTGACTTCGGCGTTGAATGTTATTTTCATTACAGATGGTTACTCCAACTCTTATAAATCCGTCATTATTGTCTAGTGTCCACACTTTGCGACATTTCTCTTCAAAAACTAGATCAAGTACAATGAAGTATTTGCGTCGCCAGATGACGGATGAGTTTTCTGTGAAGGCTCGCGAGCACTCTTATCGATGCAGGTCGGCGTTCAAGCTGATAGAAATAGACGATCGGCATGAAATTTTAAAGCCTGGTAGGTTTCAGTTGTTTTTACTGTTTTTTTTTAGTAAAAGGACGTGTAAGGCACGTGTAGCGCAGTGTTCGAGGAAGCCCTGCAGTACACTTGGGATCGATACCTGCTCAGACTCACCAAGCCTTCCATCTCTCCTGTGTCGGAAAATCGATACCAAACTTATCTGGGAGGATAACAGCACTGGCTGTATACACTGGCAGGCCACTACGAATCATTGTAAAGGCCAGATATGCATTCAATCGCCTCCAACAATGCTTAATGAAGTCGAATGCATGGTGCATCTGTCAGGGATTAGTCAACGCCGAGAGCTTTATCCTATTTTCTTGCTCTTCTTACTATATACTGGTACTTTCCGGTGGCCTAAATGGCATTTATTTCCTTATTTCACTCCTTATAGTGGTCATTTCCTGTCATTCGAGAATGTTATCCTTAGTTTAGGTATCACTGTGTTGGACGTTGGCTGTGCACCGGGTTCTTGGAGCCAAGTTGTTGTTGAGCGATGTCAGCTGAACACAAAAACTACCCCTGGATATCTGCTTGGTATTGATGTTCAGGTCAGTTCTGACGCGCTTTTCCCGTTGTCTATGTACGATGTAACATTGTCTAGGTGGTTTCTCCAATACCAGGGGCTGATATTCTTTCTATGTCTGATATTACATCCCCGAAGACGCAGGAATTAATAGTAAAGAAACTGGACGGGCGTTTTGTTGATGTAGTACTTAGTGATATGGCTCCGTCTCCTACAGGTGAGTTCTGATGTTTGTTCTTTTAATAGGGCTTCTAGTTTTAAACTGAATGTTTTCCTTATTATTTTATATTATGCGTAGATTGGCTATGTTTCTAAGTGTTCAAGTGCGATGTGTAGCACGGGTTTACTTCGAGCAACATGGTCATCCTAACTGAAAAGGGACTTTGCATTTCGTTTTGCAAACCGAACTAGTAAGAAACCTGTTTCACTATGAAGCCCAGTGGGCCATCATCCATGGCTGCTTCCTTGCTTAAATATTAAATTGTTACATGAGATGTTCGATTTTATTGTTTTAAGTTTCGTGTATTTTTTTAGATAAAAAATTAGTTTTTTATATATGTTTAATACACATTTTTGAAGCACAGAGTCTGCTTTTTCTATTTCTAATATTGGTTTTTTTTTTTGAAGATTTAAACGTTTTTGTAAGCTTTAACTTTGGTATGAATCAACGTGATATTCGTGTCCTTTTTTTGTACGGGTGGAAGAGTGGGCATAATGCCACGGTAGAAGCTCGGAATATCACGAAGTTTAGTGTGAAGGTAGTGTGGTAAATCAACAATGCAAAAATGGTGTAGGATATTCCTATCTAGTGGTTTCGACCTCGAAATTAAGGAACGTCGCGGACGTCCCAATGAATTTGACGACGACGACGAATTGGAGGCACTGGGGAGGCAAAAACGCAGACAACTGTTCGAGAGCTTGCAAAACAGCTTGACATAAGCGCAGGAACAATTTCCACTCACTTGAATCGCATAGGAAAGGTAGAAAAACTCCACAAGTAGGTGCCGCAGAAATTAAACGATAATTTTTAAAAAAACCGCAGTTTTGAAATGTCGTGTGCTCTTATTCTGCGCAACAAAAACGACTCGTTTCTTGATTGGATTGTGACATGCGAGAAGTGGATTCTGTACGACAGCCGAAGGCGTTCGGCTCAATTTGGATTACGATCAGGCTCCACAGCACTTCCTAAAGCCGAAATTACACCAAAAAAGGCTATGGTGACGGCTCGGTAGTTTGGAGCCGGGCTGATTCATCAGAGCCATTTGAATCCGGACGAAACGATTACGCCAGAGTAGTATTGACAAGATATCGACGAAATGCACAGTAAACAACAACAACAACAACCGGCATTAGTCAGCAGAAAAGGACCAATCCTCGTACACGATAAAGCCTCGACGGGACCAGCGCTGCAGAAGTTGAACGAGTTGGAGTGCGAAATTTTGTCTCATCCGCCATATTCATCGGGCCTGTCGCATACTGAATATCGTTTCTCAAACATTTTGATAGCATGCTGGGCGAGAAATGTTTCACCAACTACGATGACGCGAAAAATGCCTACAACGAATTCATCGCTTCCAGAACTCCAGAATTTTGTGGAAGTGGAATAAATAAACTTGTTTCTCGTTGGCAAAAATGTGCTGATTTTAATGGTGTGTGTTTCGGTCAATAAGATTTTGTATGGAAGGAGATATCTTTATTTAAAATTTACATTTAAAATCAGACATTTCATGTTTTACAGCCTGATAATAAAGATATGTCCCTTACCAAAAGTGGAATGGTCTTCGTGTCATTTGACAAAGCAGATTTGCCGCACGACAGAGACGAGGCGAATGTGGGTCTTGTTGGTACCTGTTTAAATAATTTTGTCCTTAATACGTTCGCGTCGATACTACTTTTTCAATCACCTCTCACATACCGTCCCGTTGTTCGTCGAGTGACTCGAGCGGGCCCCAGTAAATATTGCACTTCTCCCTGTCACCAGCCGGAATGGCTTCTGCACGTTCTAGGAACTTTTTGAGCCTCATATCTTTCTTCTAGGGTCTTCGTAAAGAACTTTGATCATCGGGTCGGTGGTCTTCCTGGAATACGTTTGAGATACTGAGGAATCCAGTCACTAACGGTTCTTGTCCATTGGTTGTCGTTCATACGCATTACGTGTACGACCCACCTTATCCTCGACAGTTTGGCATATAGAACGCCGTCTTTGATTTTTCATCGTTGACATAGATCAGAGCTTTCGATCTCTTTCCTCACTTGTGTGATACGAGATACTCCTTGCGTCATCCTTTCGATAACGCGTTGTGTAACGCTCAGTAATTTTATCCTGATTACGAAGCGGTCAGGTTTCTGACGCATATTTTAACGCAGGAAGTACCGTTGAGTTCAAAAGGCGTGCAAAGAGCAGGGTGTTTTTTTCGTCTTCACTATGTCTTCGATGCTCTTGAAAGCTCCTCAAGTTAATCTCTTTCTCGTGCTTAATTCAGGAACTATGTCGTTCATAATGTTGACTTGCCAAACTAGATAGAAGTTGCTGCAACACTAGAAAACATTCATTCCGTTGAGCGTACATTGGATGAACGAAGCCAATTCGTTCTTTATGAAAATGATCTTTGCAAGGTTTAATCGAGGACCAGTCCACAAGCGTTGTCAAAGTAAGCTAGCCTTCGTTCCTAATTTTGACGAGATGATATCGCCTTTCCTAACTTATCTTTCTCTGTCGATATTAATTCTTTGTAGAATGGTGTTATATTGATTGTGAAAGTTTTACACAGCTCACGAAGAATATATACTGTGCAGGTATCCATAACTGTCCATGCTTCCATGACTGCTTCTATCTTAATTGAGTCAAAGGCCTTTTTTTAAATCGATGAAAGTGAGATAGAGCGGTCTCTTGTACTTTCGCGATACTTCAGTGAGTCTTCTTATCATGTGGATGTGGTCCATTGTGCTGAGTTCTTTTCGAAGCCCTGCTTGCTCATGTAGCCGTCCCTCGTCCGGTTTTCTATCAGTGTTGTTTAGGACAACTCGAGTAAAAGTATGTAGACGGCAGATAGTGAATAAATTCGGCGATAGTTGCCGATATCGAAGAGTTCATCCTTAGTGCTATTTTGGTTTTATGTTTGTCTCTATTTCAGTTTCTCAGAAGAGGAGTAGATGGAAATGCATAGAATTTAGCGAAAACATGATAGTCGCAACCGGCATTTGTGGACATCTTTGTATCCTTCTTTACGAAATCATGTTTAGTGAGTCTTGGCTAAAAAAGGAACTAGCATAATTATGTTCGAAACTCCAGAGAAATAAAATCTCTCCAGAGGTGAAATTTTTGTCCGTCAAGTGATGATTGTGATTCTGCCAGAACGAAATTTAATTGACTCAAAACTGTCAACTCTCCACATGGGCAAACTCTGGCAAAAAAATGTAGTCTATTGACTTTTATTTCGCTTTCTAAATTGCAACAGGAGCTGTATCTGTTCAATTTATGAAAGGTTAACTTATTTCCGGATGCATTGGAACTCGTCGCGAATCTGTAAGCAAAATTACAAGTGAAGGGATGAAGCTGTTAAGTGGAAATTCCTTGAATTCTGATAATTTGAATTTAGGGTTTGGGTTCATAGCCAAAATGAGTTTGCTTTGGGTTCTGTTCTTGTTTATTTTTTCCCTAATTCTTTTCTTTTTTCAAAACTTCTATATATCTTTTTTCACTCTTTCTTTCCACCATTACGTTTGAGACATGTTTGAGAAACTACTATTCTAGGTGACAATGCCACAGATCATCTAAGACTGACGGAGTTGTGTCGCACAATATTCCGTCTATTTGCTCCACAAACTGAGATCTATACAGCGAACGACGCATCCATTAATAGGTCTCCGTTGTTCCAGCTATCGAATAATGGAAAATTTTTGTGTAAAATGTGGGACGGAAGTTATCGACAGTCATTTATGCTAGAACTTTTGACTTATTTCAAGCAAGTGCGAACCGTAAAGCCTAAATCTAGTAGGGATTCAAGTGCTGAGTTGTATTTGTTGTGCACAGGTAGAAATAAATAGTCCAAAGCTTACAATTTTTAGCATGCCATTGAACTGAGGATGTTTTCCATTTTCTTCAAATTTGTATCAGTTCATGTCATTCTTCTTGCTTCTCGCTCTATCGTTTTCCTTAAGATTAAGACATAAGATTGTCTCAATGTCATGGAGGCACGCTGTAAAGGTGATGATATTAACTACTTTGTCATGTAGATTTGAACTGCTAGAATGCCACTGGCAATCATATTTCAGGTTGCTCTCGCTGTGGGTGAAGCTCTAGGAAAAGCACTTACGAGGGCAATAAGGAACGAAATTCAACGTAATTACTTTGATAGTTTTTTGTTAATCACTAGCGGTTAAGGCTTTGATTTCAACTCCAGTTACAAAATAATGGTATTTTTTGAACATGGAATGTGGGATGGGATGAATACGTTTTGTGATGAAACTATTATAGTCTTGAGAATCTCCAGTGAGTTTTAGAAAGTCAGCAAGCCGCTGCCAGATACGCCAGTAGGACTAACCAATCCTCCAGTGAAGCAAGAGAATGTGCAGATGCCAACGCTAAACTTGGGATTACTTTAGAGGTATTTATGATTTCTATTCCCTCCAAACGGTTTACCAGCCTCATCATTGCCGTTAGCTGTGATATACAGCTGGGAATTCTTCCTCCCAGGAGGGTCTCTCAGGCTGATCGGTGGTCCAGCGTTTCAATCAGGCCGTCCAGCTAAGAGTAAACCAATACCAGAGTTCACCACCGTGCTGGTGTGGAACTAGTCGCGTGGTGGCAAATTTCCATCTGATACACAAGGGCAGCGATTGCTTGTGGTGGTGATGACTTAGGACAGACGTTGGCTAGGTTGACTTCGGGACTCCAGAGAACCACAATGGCTAAACCAGCTGGTGTCCGCACAACCAGTGAGGACGGGCCGTATAAGTGTCCAAGTAAGTATTCTATTATTCTATTGAAGAACTGAGTTTTTGTTACCATTGAATTATTCGTTGTATCGTTTTGATGGTAACAACAGTGAAGGTTATAATTACTGGTGACTTTTATACCATGGTTTAGTATGTATAAACAGCTGGTTGTAGATTATATTTCACTTTATCGTTTCATATTTTTTGAATAGTTCTTTCCAGGAATCTTTACAAATTTTGAACATAAAACCACCAATAGATCAAGAAGCAGTTGAGAAGAATTTCCAGCACCTATTCTCTGTCAATGATAAAGCCAAAGGAGGCTCATTTTATTTGCAATCTAAGGCTGGTTTTAATTCATTTCTAATAGTCGATTTCATTTTTGCATCTGTATTCATTTCATTTTTTAGTCTTTCTTTCTTCTTTTTAGGTATATCGAGCGAAAGAAAGAATAGATGAGGAGTTGCGAAGGCAAGGTATTAACATTGAAAATGACCTGAGGAAAGAAAAAGGAGACTAACGAAAGGTGTAGAATACTCAACAGCAATACTTAGCAGTTGTTTGAAAGCTCGTAGGAAGATTGTTTTAACTGTGTAATTGATTCATTTGATGACGTCATCAGTTGAGGTTCGAGACATAAAGATATAGTGTTCACTACGCTAATGTTAAGAAACGCAGGCTGCTTAAGTATATAACGGTTTCTGTTGTTATTGATATTGTTAGTACAATGTTTCCAATTCATGTGACCATTTGTTATGGTGCGTCTTTTCGAACTATTGGTTACTTACTGTGATATTTAAACCAGTAACATTCCTGGAGTATTGGTACTTCAAGATCTGGTACTTGTCAGTACAAGAAGTTGGTCAATTTAATGAGCAGTCGAGGTATAGCACTGCTGAGAGGAGTGCTCACCAGTGGAAGCGCACCGTCAGGAGATGAAGCTCGGCGCATAGCAGAAAGATTGGTCTTGATCCTTCTTGGAGAAGAAAAATGTAAGTCATAACATGTGCTGGCGTATCTGGTGAATCACGAGTCTATTTTGGAGTAGAAATCTGCCATTCTTGAATCTTCAGAGCAGGTTGAGTTTCTTTATCGCTTCCATAGGTCTCTTATTGAATGGATGCGATAGAAGTAAATTCTACTAAGTACTAGCGAATTAGAGTGTTTGTGCCAGGGACCGATGAGGTATGTACGCACAGTGTTGCTGAGAGCGTTTGGACTACTGTCACTGATGGTGCTCGTTGGAATTGGAGTGCGGATGCGTTGAAAGAGAAGATTGATTCGGATCATCCTTTTTGTGCGGCTATAGTTGAAGTATATAAGGTTAGCGGGATATTCATCTGTTAATTTATGCGCACATCAGCGCCATAATTTACGTTAAGTGTATGTTGTAATCATGAAGTCTTTAAATTTCTTACTAACAGTAGTTATATCAAAGATAGGACATTTAACATCATTGATTGGTGTGTTTTTTAATCCGAGTTTACTAAGGTTTACTTTCCAGAACCCTTTAGGAAAAAGTCCATATTTTACGATCGCAACTGAGTACAATCGGATGGGACTATCCTGAGTTGGTCGATTGCGAGTGTATCCTTCGAAGTACAGTGCAGGTGTGATTTCAATGTATTTAAGTGTATCTGAATGACCCAGTTATATCTTCTTTACTCCTCGTAGACAGAGGTACTGAATCGGGTTTCGGAACCACTCGTGTCTCTAAAACTGCATACTTTATCGCCTGAGGAGACGACGTCAAAATGTTTGGAACTTCATCTCGATACGAATCAGTTCCAGGTATTTTCCTAAGTAAAACCATTCTTGCATTCCATTACTCATTCTTGCAGTATCAAGGATGTCAAACAACTGGTAGAAATGGTTTGCAGAATCCTAAAAAGAAGTGAGAAAAAGCCGCTGATCTTTGCATTGTAAACAGTAGTGCAATCTTTCCTCTTAAAACTGCCGAATGTTAGGAATATATGCACGTCTAGGCTCTCTACTTCTTGAAAACAGTAATGGGATTTTAACTTTATATTCGCCGCCTATTGCAATTTTTCACGGCAGGATATTATGTGTGATACAACTATAGTGATGCTGAGATATTTGCAAAACTATGGACCGCAGGCGTCTGCGGTGGGAATCGAACACGTTATTACCCTTTCGGACGGCTAACGCGTTCACCACCACACCATGCGGGTCTTTCGTTTCGGCTCCTTCTCAGCTAGTTCTATCGATCTTTTGCCATCAGTAATCACTCGTCAACGGGATTGATCTGGGGAGCCCAAATCGACATTGAATCCAGTTAAGCTGATGCTGTAGTCAAAATCACATCAGTTTTATTAATAGGATTCTGGAATAGGATTAATAGGATATTAATAGGATTCTATGTAATTGACTGTTATTCTTAGGTAGAGCCTTATTCGACTTTTGCTTAGGATCTTCACGCGAAAATAAAAGAAGCAGTGAACGTTCTGGAACAATTAAAAAGGAAGTGATGCATAATTGGTATAGGCATCGTTTATTTCTCCACGGTTAACTATGGTCAGATCACAACTGCACGGTTTATTTTGAAGTGTTGGATCACATAGAAACGGTTAGTGTGTTTTTATGGTCTAAGGAAAAACAAAATGAATTTAATAAAAAGAATAGGTTGTATGGTGAGATTTTTACAGCAAGTCAGTAGTTACCTGGCAACATTTAAGCGGTTCTGTTCCACGTCGATTTTCAAAACTCTGTGCTATAGTATGTTGAAGATTGCAGATTTGGTTTCATTTAGCTAAAACATGTACAGTGTTTTGCTTTATAACCGCTCAATCCCTAACTATGACTTTTTAACATTCTTCCATCAGTATCATGACCGTCTTTTTCCCTTTCTCAAGAATCTCATTCTTAACAGACACCGTAACAGGTGAATGCGTAGATAACAAAATTTTCATATTTAGATTTCCAGAACTGCTATTTCTCGGTAGTGGGCATTTTCTGGGCCTGGGCTTATTGTTTTGTGAAATAGGAACAGATGTGGTCTTTGATTTGCCAGTTCCAGGCGTATCCACGGAAACTTTCCGACTTTCTTCGATTGGTGACTTTTCGACAGTGGTTTAATGCCTCCATTGACCACTGTCTGATTATCAGACGAAGGTTCCTCGATGTTTTCTGGTTGGTTCCATATCTCCATTTCCACTCGTAGGAACATTACATCGTTCTGGAAATGTAATACTCGTGAGTATTCCAATTATGCATACGTTGTTTTGTGATCAAACTCGCCGAATTCTTATCCTAAAGGACCAGCGCTCGCTTTAATATCAGATTTGAATCGGTCAGATAAGACTCAATTGATCTTTGCTTCTTTGTTTGATATGGCCATTCGATTTTCTGATTATTCTTTTTTTTACATCTGCATTCTGTGTTTTGTGGAGCCGTAAGAATCTGTTGTCGAGTAAATGTGGTGTCTCCTCAAATCCAACTAACTCATCATCGTCGGTTTTTTTTGGGAGGATTAATTATAATGTTTCATGTTCATGTTCATGTGTTATAAACACATTGTTCATGCTTAGGGAATATTGTTTAAAAATCCGTGCTCTCCAAAAAAAGGAAAATAAAACTATACGTAGTTAGTAAATTTTTCTTAGAATACTCCATGTGTAACAAATGCACGCAGATTTTGAGTACAGATTTCTGTGCATTTCTAATGACTCACCTTCAGAACTCACCCTGATGAAGTTTTCCATGACGTCGAGTCTACAGAATGTCAGAGCTCCAAATGAGCCGTTTTTCTCTGTTAACGGTCTTTCAAGAAATTCGGTTTTTGCGGTGATCTCTCTTGCATCGATGAGATAAGAGATGTCGCATCGTTCTTTGTAATCAAGATTCTGTAACAAGGTAGATTTGAAACTGTCTAATGCCTTAGTTTTGGGATTTGTTGCTGCAAAGTTGTGTAGAGCTTGACAATGCTAATTAGGTTCTGTTGGTTACTGTCTTTGTTCCCGTCCACAACCTTACGATTTCATGGAATACAGGATAATTGCGCTAAAAACTGCATAGGTTTTTGAATCTGGGTTTTTTTCTTGTCTGATTTTCCACTCAATGGTGCCGTTCTCAGCACACTTGCGACACCATGGGTGATATAAATGTCATACATAGAGGAGAGATACAAAAGATTACATACGTGATATATTCTTTATATTTCTTCTACTCCTTGCTTTCTCCCGTAAAGTTTCGTTGTACTTTTTTGTGCTAAGTAGCTTCCTTAAAACCGACATTACATCTAATTTATCAGGGAAAAACTTCTTTCTACGCATCGCAGTTTGCAATAAATAAATCTTGGGAGGAGTATTATCGCCTCCACGAAACCATCGGTAATTTGTTGCTTATTTTATTGCTAACATGGAGAGGGAGATTACGGAGATTCGTCTGCTGTACCTGCACACTGAAATTCGGCCCTCAAGTCTGTAAACCTCGGCACAGTGAGTTTGAACTATTGAGGAGACGTGCAAAAATCTGTCTTCATCATGTGCATTCGATTCACTTCCTCGCTTCCATAATCCACGACTTCTTATTCTTTGCTTATGGATCAGCCTACAGCTTGAAGATGTCTTCTTTGCGAATGTCGTTGAATGCTGATCCAGTCGATTATCTCTGTAGTTCTGAGATAGCTATGTAAGAGTGTTCCCACTTGGATTACAGTGAGTGAAGCTTTCTGAGACGTGTTTGGTACTAATCTCCCGATCCCGCATGGATGAGAGGTTTGGAGAGCCATGTGAGAGGGTGAACCACCACCGTACTCGTGATAGTCGCCATCACTACCATTGCGCTAGTCGCGCCCCTCTTGGGAAGCATTAAATGTTCTTAATTCGTATTTTCACAACATCTTTTTGGTGCTGTACAAATTGTGATTAGAAAATTTTTTTGAGATCCACATTTTTTACAGTCTACATTTTTTATATTCAAGTTAGGATTTTTACTATCAATAATTTTTGTATTTTTTATTTCTCATGGCTAATGGAGCAGTCGAAACAGAAATTGTTTCTGCAATTATCCCATTATCTACTCATGACTTGCTCTGGTACGTACTAAATAGTACGCTATCTTGTCGCTCAAGTTCGCTGTTTTGCTTTTTTGTAGCCTTGGGCTTTTAATCATTTGGCGAATAAGGCAGAGTGAAAGTGTATAGGAAATGTTACAGTAACGATGGGCTTGTTGCATCATCCTCGAGTGGTCGGTCGAGTTTTATCTCTGTTTTCGCATTGATAGGACGATTTATCAAGAGAATCACTATCGACGTAAAAATCACAAAAATCCACATGGGTTAGCGACTGCCTGTTATCCTGAATCCGCCCTGGCAAGACTATGTCAGAACTTCAGCAAACCACAAATAGCTCAATCAACAATGAAACAGCCTCGACACCCAGCGTATTGCACTATCCCCTCTACGACATCATCACGTGAACCGTTTGCGCTGTACCTATAATTCCAGAACGGTTTCCTTGGATGGCGATCTCCACATATCGCATGAATTCCCATTTCATCACATACAGGCGACAAAAAGCAGGAAAGTTGACATATGCGAATTAAATAATGGACCCTTGTCATATGTGGGGAAAGATCCCGTCATGAAATAACGGTGGCGTACGCTTTGTCGTGCACGCGTCCATTACCCACTCGTGAACTCATATGGGATCCTATGGGATCCCTCTCCTTCGTTTGGTTATCTTCCATCTTCAAACCACGCGGCATAAGAGAAGTTTATTACTGTCAACTACTACTCATCGTTCGGTTCCGTACAAGAAGATGAGAATAGATTACATGCATCGTTGTTAAACATCTCTCGACGAGCTGATATGAAATTGGCAACATGTATTTTCGATGTTCAATAGTTGACATTTCAGTGACCATTCCATAGTTTCATTGAAAAGTCAGCGCACAAGCCAAACATCAGTCTGTGCTCTGCAATGCACTTGCCGTTTTCGTTTTTTATGTTGTCTAGAGAGTTTATAGCAAGACTGAGAGCTCCGTGGTCATTACTGGAACTTCTGCCTTACCAACAAACACTCTACGTCGTCGGTTAATTCAAAGCCACTTGTATGGTGGTTTATCGGCAGTACAAGCTTGCACGATTTGTCCTGCCTTTGGTGACAAAGTTGCATGAGTTCGGGGACAATATAGGTGATCTCTTTTAAGAGATGTGGCGGTCATGACGGTAAAACGTGTAGAGCACTTTGTATTTGGGTAAAAGATCACTTAGATGGAATAATTAAGGTACTACAAAGTGCTCAAAGTACTTATGTACAGAACACAATCACAACGATGACGATTCTGAAGTTGCTGTCACGTTCTTCGCATTGGGATCAAACACATCAACTTGAAAACTTATGCTATTTTGGATAAATTTGAAAGGTCCAAAAATGAGTCGAAAAAAGAATGCCTTGCTATTACACATCACTTCAAGTTTCAAATTATTTTCCCAATCTCAGTAAGTCACACCTGTCATCCTCTGAGCAGTGATTGAGCAGTGATTTAACTGCTTAGAAAACAGAAACGGTGAGTGCTTTTCCACAGATTTTGGTTTGGTCTATGAGATGTTTTCTCAGTAGGACTGTAGAATATACATCGAACAACGATGTGAAACAATACGTTCACCGAAGCTTTAGGCTTATCAAAGATGCATTTCAAAACCGACCATCGTTTAAGCTTGGCATGAATAATAGATATCTTTTAAAAACCCTGGAAACGTAAGCCGAATAAACTTCCATAACAACCTCATGTAAGCTGATAACTTTGAAAACGACATTAATTGTTCCTAAAAGATAGTTGGTAAGGTCAAAACAACTCGATTAATAATGATAGATGTTAGTTGAAATCTGTTTTTTCGAATGAGATTAAGAAAACTCGATCTTTCGAGATGAGGGTAGGAACCGTCCTACTGGATTCCTATCAACAGCACGTCTCCTCCATGGAAAGTCATTTTTTCAAATGAATGATAGTTGTTGAGGAACCGCTGGAGTAAATTAACAGCACACAAATTCTCACTAACAGAAGATGGTTTGCTTGACAACTCTGCGGTACTCTCGTTCTGTATCGGGTCCGGTCAACGCCTTCGGGCCAAGAATCGGCTTCGCGTGTAAGGTAGAAAAAACTTCCATTAAACCTCGGCATAAATTATCCGTACCTTCTGCGATTATAAAGCTAACACGAGGATGGTAAAAGGTGTATTTGGGCAGTTTCGACAAGGGCGTGTGTAGCGCAGTGGTCAGAGGCGCTCTGCAATACGCATGAGAACGATACCTGTGCCTCAGGCTCACCAAGTCCTCCATCTCTTCGGTGTCGGCAAATTGGTATCAGATTTGTCTGAGAAGATAGCAGCACTGACTCGATAAATCGATAGACTACTGCGATCATTATAAAGACCAAATATGCATTCAATCACCTTTAACAATGCCTAATGAAGTTGAATGCATGGCACATCACTCTGCAATTGATCATCACAGAGAGCTTTATCCCTTTTTTAACGTTTCAACTTCTTCGTCTTCTTTAGAGCTCCGTTGATCCGAGTCGTTCATCCACAGATGGTCGTCGTCGCGAAGTCGATGTTCGTAACCGCTCCGAGTAATTTGTATGAGTGGAGCGCCGTTAGAATGAAGAATGAGCTCACTGGATGTTACTTTTCCATACAGGGCAGATGTTAATCTATTGCTGCTATTCACTACGATCTGCTTTTTTTCTTTTTACAGGAAAGGAAATCACTAAGGGAACGTTTTCTACATGAAGTGGCACCTATACTCTGCGGATCCGAGCGTTTTTTGCATTCCATCCTTCCGCTCATATTTATCATCCACCAAGATCTTCAAGTCACGGGATCCAGTTCTGCTGCTGCTTGAGGAATTTTGTCCTTTTGTCCTGTCCTGTTCCCTTTTTTGTCTTTATGAAGTCGTTGTTGCTAGTGGGTCAGTTCTCCTTGTAATTCTTGCTTAACCGTGCTGGACTTCCGAAGATCTGCAGCACAGATAATCGCCGGCTCTTATGGATTGGAGGTAGTGTTGTGATCGCAAACACAAGTCCGGTGCTTATCTCTGGATTCCGGAAAGATAGGAGGCTTGTGCTTAGTTGAGTCATGGCCTTCCGGGTGTTGAACGGCACCGCTACCACTTTACTATTCGAGTCTCACTAAAGGATATACTTGATACTTGAAGGGCCTGTCTTCATTGATTGTGCTAGTCCCAGCATAATCACCATTTTTCGGAGATTTGCTGGCCAAGCCATTATGGTTTCTCGGAGTCCCGAGGTCTGCCTGGCCAAAGTCTGCCCAAGCACTAAAGAATGTAAGAAACTCAATTTAGAGATTGGGAACTGAGCGGTGTGGTTTTATTTAATGGGGTACAACATACTGTATGAGTGATGTGTACAAATGCGATAATGAACTGAAAGTTTGAACTTGTCATTTTTTTTCACTACCTGCAGATTCTTCATATTTTCTTCCCATACCTGATCAAGTAATGTGATACTGACAACGTGGTCAAATGGCCGTTTCAAAATCTGGTCGTATTTGCCTCTGAGCAGAGTCAAGTATACAGCTAGATATTCGCCTCGATCTGCAAAATGTTAAACAGGTCAGAAGTGGTCTGATATCTGCTGGAATTATTATCAAATTTGACTCTGTTATGGTGATTTTTCATTATACCAGTCTCGTATGGAAAATATCAGCCAAGAAGTTTATCGTATTTACAAAATAAAACAGATCTTTTAAGGCAAGTAACATAATTTTCTATCCAAATCGACTCTTAGTTATGAAAATCCCCCAAACACCTTTAATGTATGGAGGTCTCTTCAACCAGTTAGTGGTATGTTTCCATTTTGCAGCCAGAAGGTGCGTAAGTGGAATGGACCGAAAAGTCCTAACGTGTACGGTAAATCCTGATTAAGCTCTCCTGTCAATGCTGCGCCACATTAGCTTGTACGTTCCATGAAGGATAAAGGATGAAACCCTCGGCATTGATCAATCCGTAGGAATCCACTATGCATTCGTCTTCATCAAACATTCTTAGAGCTGATTGCATATCTGATCTATACAGTCAACAAGGTAACTACCTGTCACCACCGATCACCTGTTTATTGCAGGGTA